TACAGATGGTAATATTCAGAACAATTCATGCAGTAAGGCCTAATTTTTTGTGACAATATTTTATTTCGTGATGGCTCTATGAAGATCAGCTGTAACAAATTTTCTTTCTTAGATGAAGCGGATTTTTTTCTGTAGGTGATAGTTCATGTATCCACCGTGTTCAGTCACTGCAACCGCCCATCCATCGACGAAGAATTCTACGACCCGCCCACCACTGTCGAGAGGATTGTTCAGTTAGTCGAAATTCTCGACGATAATAATTTGGCCACCATTACTCCTAAGTGAGTCTCTTGCAGATTTGTTTTTGTCCTGACTTTAGAATTTTCTCTTGCTGAACTTCTAATATTTAAATATTTGATGTATTTTCATAGCGATGTGAGGGCCCGGTTTATTGCAGTGGTGTAATGAACAGACATTAATCATAGGCTTAAATGAATATCTATATGTGGTATAATATATAAAGTTTATCATTCATGAATTAAAACATATTTCTGCTTGATAACCTATGTTTTAATACAGAATGCTCATCTAAATACTATTTAGAACTTTTTTATTTTAAAGCATAGCTAACACTTTGTGTCTCCTTTGAAAAGAATAAATCGTTCATGCTGATTAAAAGGGGAATCTATATTTGTTGAGAAAATTTTTGAATTCTCCTTTGATTCACATAAGGCTTTTGGGTGCCTGGCCGAACACGTACACTTACACCAAAGCAATAGCTGAAGATATAGTGAGAACTGTCGGCAAGGATCTTCCTGTCGGAGTGTTCAGACCATCCATCGGTGAGTAGAATGATTACTGCAGGTTATATCTCCTTGTCAGATGGACAAATACTACAGTGGCTAATAATATAATTTAGGGAAACTTAAATTTCAACGGAATGAAGAATATTTCACAGAAAATAGCACTGTGAGTTTTAATATTATTTTGGTGAACAAGACTTTTAGTACACAGGAAGAAATCAACACAGACAATACTTTTAATTGCATAAATAAAAAAATGCATTTCTAGAGAAGTTGTATCAGATTACTTTATACCGGTATGGGCTTTAAAGATTTCAGCACTGTCATCAGAAATACGCTGTTTTTTATTTTGTTTACAATCTCAAAATATATCTATAATCGATTTCGATATTTTTATATCCAACTGAGCTAACACAATTTCTACAATTTTATTTCCAAGATGTTCCTTGCTTTAAATATTCAAGCTACGACTCTAACAATCGTAAATTGTATTGGATGGAACTGGTGTATTTTTGGATGAAAATGTTGTTGATACAGTCACAATTGAGGTTCTCATAGCCATAAGAATAAATTTCATTCATTTATGGGATTCTGTGAAACATACTCTGATAGGTTCTTCCTGACATTTCAGAAAAACTTACTACTTCCAGGCAGTAAACTCCCGTAAAATATCGATCAACCACTACCAGACATATGGTGTAATATTCCAGACGAGATCTACCTTTGCCTTTCAGATATCTTCGCTGTATCCTGTTTCTGCAAATGATCAATGTTATGAATTTTATCCTTTTAGTCTACTGTACGAGAAGGGAGACTTTGCCAGGGTGGACTGACAACCTGTATGGACCGACAGGAATAGTAGTGGGCGTGGTTCTTGGGTGGATTCGCACCATATACTCCAACGGAAAACTTGTTGGGGACATAGTGCCCTGTGACATGGCAGTTAATGCTCTCGTGACTTCTGCCTGGCATATTCATGAGCAGCGAAGGTGAATTGTTGATCTTAAATAAAGGCACAAGTAACATTTGTAATTAGATTCTTCAGTTAGTTTATATTTTGAGACACATGGAATGAGACACCAGAGTCAATGACTTCTCGACTCAAGTGAGTCCAGCCTAAATCTCAAGATTTTCTCTTTCTCCAGCACCAAATACAAAACTCAATAAAAAAAATGTGGTGATTTGCCGTTGTGCAAATTTCTGCTTCTTAATATATTTGCAATTCTATTTCATTGTTTTGAAGAATACTGCAAGTGTAAAGCGATTTGTGCTATTGTATTCGGTTAATACCATTCCTATATTTTGTTTACAATGACTTTTCTTTACACCAATAAAAACAAACAGCTTCCAAGAATCATTACCCAAGAAAAATGAAAGTTGAACTTGTAATTCACCTGGAATGTGATTAAAATATATTAATAAGAAACATCATTCATCATATACGTACCTTCATGGGATAGTTGCCCTGCAAGATGATAATTTTCACACAGGCTAACTTTTCGCTTATCTTCAGCAGGTCTGGCACTGGAGCTATTCCTGTATACAACTACGTGTCGTCTTGTGAGAATCCAATTACCTGGGGCGACTTTATTAACAAGAACATTAAGCACAGCTGGCAGGTACCATTTGATAATGCAGTGTGGATGGTTAATCTCACCTTGATACATGTGCACGTCTTGTACAAATTGTATGCATTGCTGATTCACCTTCTTCCAGCACTAGTGGGAGACACTGCATTGCTTGCCATTGGACAAAAGCCCAGGTACACCAAATTGTAACAAGAATTGGAATAAATATGCTGAAATTAGAGACCCAGCTTTGAATGTTTATTCTATAGAACAACTAATGTGTGTTTGCTTATATTCAAGGTTGATGAGTGTTTACAAGAAAATACACAAGTTATTAGATACCACTTCATACTTCCGCAATCGACAGTGGACGTTTTCTAACCAGAACATGATTCATATGTGGAACAATCTCAGTGAAGACGACCGAGAGATTTTTGACTTCAACATCAGTGACCTCAATTGAAATCTGTACTTGAGGCAGGGTCTCATGGGAGTTCGTACATTTGTGCTCAAGGATGACCCAAAGAAACTCCCACAAGCTATTAGGAAGGCCCTGCATCCTTGGTGCTTGTGACACTGATATTCTGCTATTTATGAGTATATACAATGAAATTAAACGCTGCTACAAAAGAAGGAAAATATTAAAAACTAAATATGTTTGTAGTGTGTTAAATTATAGGTTATGTTTGTAAATATTAAATTTTTATTTGCATGTTACAGGCTGTACTGGCTCCATCAGTGTGTGAAGTTCTTTCTCTTCTTCATATTTTTGTGGCTGTGCTGGCTGGCTACTACCTCTATTTTTTGGTTGAATGGAGGAGAAGCCGGAGATAAGCGACCGTTGTAGGAAAACAATTCATAAGCTAGTTGTCTTGAAGACTGAAGCTCCTACAGCTCATTCTTGGTATGGTATATAATAAGTATAAAAGAAACTTAATTGTTAAGGGTATGTGCAAAAATAAGATTAATACAGTCAAACCTCGGTTCACGAACGCCTCGGGATCACGAACAATTCATTTTACGAACTAATTTTCCGAACACAGAGCGTCTCGTATTACGTACTGTGTCTCGAGTTACGAACACGCAAGCCGTCAACATCGTGGAGCGATAAGCTGGGAGTATCAGCGTCGGCAGTATTCGTAGAAGAATGATCCAGCATGGGGCCAAAGAAAGACAATGATAGCAGCAATGTGAAAAGAAAAAGTTGTCAGTGGAACCACGGTTCCGGAGAATTTGACGTAAATACGTCTATACGGAAAGGAAGATTATAAACTGTCTTTATTCTAAATATTTCCTTTATACCCGCTTTACAATTGAGTAAGGTTTGATTAAGACTTTGCTTATTTAACTTGAATTAGTTACGCTTAAGATGGGTCTGTGGTAGCTGAATGTAATGTAAAGTAATGTAATGTAATGAAATGTAAGGTAATGTATTGTAATGTAA